TTTTTCATTCTATGCTGGGGTTTTGCCTTCCTTTAATATGCACACCAAAGTATATTAAACTGGTTACTCCAACTGAGGAGGAGTTTGTCTTTCCATTTTCCTGTTGCTACTGCTCTGCTCTCTTTGCCTCTATGCTCTGCTTTTGCAACTGAACAAGAGCTTCTGTCCTGCCAGATTTTCACACAAAGAGTACTTTTTCAGACTGAGTCTAAAATGAATACTTTCTTCGCTGAACACAAACATGGAAGTACACTTCCTGTGTGCCCCATTTCACAAGCTCCTTGGCTGTTTAATGATTTTATGTTCAGAGATTACATCGGCTTCACTCTCACACACCCTTAGAAGGTTTACATCTTTCTCTCTTTCTTTCTTTCACATAATGTTGCGTCTCTGTTGAATCCACTGGATTAGTTCAACTGCAACAAGTATTTACTGAATTGTACATGTTGAACAGTTACTTATTCACTATTTCACATTACTCTCTACCTGGATTCTCACACTAAATAAAATTAACCTGTGATATAGGAATTCAAATGGTAACATTTGAACTTAGAATGTCACAATTAGACATGTGATTGCATTTTCAATAAGTTCCATTAAAAGGTATCAATTTTTCCCAGCATAGAGAAATGAGTTATTTTTTTTTTCTATAGAATACTCTTCTTCATGCATCTTATTCTTTTCAAATCTTGAAGTAAGGTCTTTCTAAAATTTGACTAAAATTGACTCATGAGTGTAAAATATTTTAACAATTTGAATTATTAATCTGAAGACTGGATGTTTTAACTCACCATTTTATCTTCAGTAGATAGGTCCAGTATGAGGTTCATGGGCTCAGCTGAAGGTGTTCCATGAGTTTTGAGTAGAGAATGAATGAATAAATGCTTTGATTTTGAAGACTTGAGTCATATTTTGAATATAGGAAGAAGTTTGAAGGACCATGAGAAAAAGCTGCCATCTTCTTTGTTCGCTGTCCAAAGGAAATGAAAGTAAAATGAGACATACATGCTGAACTTCTCTTTCTACTGTTGAGATTAATTCATTTCCTTACACATTCAAGTAGTCTTCCATCTAAGT